AGAAGAAGAAGAAGAAGAAGAAGAAGAAGAAGAAGAAGAAGAAGAAGCCATCTTCAATGAATCTAAAAATTTAATTAAGAGAGAAAAGAGAAAGAAAGGAAGGAAAATGAAGGACTTAAGACTTAAAAAAACACTTAAGAAAGAGAAAAATAAGATGCAAAATCAACTCAATGTTACTAAGCAAAAGGAAAAAGGAATACAACAGAGAGGGGAAGCTAAAAAGGCGGAGGTTAGTAGAGGGGAGGGTAAAAAGGCCAGGTGGGATAAGAAAGGAAGGGAAAAGGGAGGAAAAAGCCACAAAGGTATGAAACAAGATGGGAAAAAAGGAATTTTTTTTAGGGATAAAGGGTAATGTATAATTTCTTTAAAAAAGAAGATTCTGCAAGGTACATAAGATGGTATTGTAGTACTTGTATTAGAAATAGAAAACTAGAATGTTATAAGAATTAATAAAAGACCAAAATATTGAAATGTTTAGTAATGACAGATTTTAAAATTTAACAAAATATTAAAAGGAATATTTAAAATACTGAGTTTAATTAAAAAGTTTAATTGACTATTGTCTTGATTTTATTATAAACTCATTATTGTAGCACTTGTCCTTTGAAATAGACAATTGGAATGTTATAAGATTTAACATTTAGATTTATTATTTAATTATATTAATTATTATGGACTTATTATTTTTTCTCTTTTTAAAGGTTAGCAGGTAGAATGTACTAAGCAGAATCAAATTGGGTACTAGGCGTTATTTTAAATATTAATTTAGGGGGAGGATAGAAAGGCATCATACTCTGATCAGTGATTTCAGGAGAAATCCTTTTTTTTTCTTACTGTAGGGAATGAGATAAATGGATAATTTGGAAAGAATGGACAAAAAATACAAATATAATGATTTAAATTAAAATGAATTAAATAAAATAGAAATAAGAAGCGTGAAAAGCGGGAGAAGTTATATAGAACAGGGGCACACATGCTGCTGCATTCTATTCCAGCTGAAGCTTCCAGAGCTTCCCATAGATTGCATTTCAGTAGTCCAATCTGGCGATGACTAGGGAATAAAAAACTTTAAGCAAAGTAACTTCTAGAACAAAAATAACATACTCCATACATTGCAGCAAGGAGCTTGTTTTTCTATTTTAAGAGAAGGAAGCTGCATAACAGAAAGGGGCAGAATAGCAATAGCACTTTGACTTATATACCACTTTATAGTGCTTTACAGCCCTCTCAAAGCGTTTTAGAGACAGCATATTGCCACCAACAATTTGGGTCCTCATTAGAATGCTACCTAGTTAAAAAAAAACAAAAAGCATAAATCCTTAGACTGGATTGGTAAGAAGTTGCAAACCCTTAAAATATTCCCAGATGCTTTTCCAGGGATTTCTTCTTTGTCCCACTGAAATGGCTAAAGGTACTAAGGCAAAAAAGTAACACATATCACTTAATCTTGCCTTTGGTTCACTAGATCACTAAACTGATGAAGTGATACTTGGTCCATCTATAGCAGGGATGTCAAATACAAAGCCAGCAAGCCAGATCAAGCCCACAATGTGGTTGGATCCAGCCCGTACATTCCACTAAATAAGTTTTCCACAAATGTCTTCAGGTTCACTTAATTAGGCCACTGCAAAATTGCAAGAGTTGCAGGACAGATTAGTTTGGGTATTTGCTAATTTAGGTGCCTCTCCTGCTATGAAAAAGTACAAATAAAAGGAAGAGGGGGGAAAAAGCAACCAATCTGTTCTCAGCTGGGAGAGCAGAACCAGAATAAGCACTCAGCTCTAAGAAAAGGGGATATCAGTTTTGTTTATGAATCTGTTTCCTGACAGGAAGTGGGTTTTATTGGTTCCTCCCAAGATTCCTGCACTTGATGAGAATACATCAACAACCTTTCCTAATGTGGTATCTTCACAAATTTTACATAGCAACTGTTATTGCACTTCTGACTGCAAGTATAGTTTAAAATTATCTGAAAGGGACTACAATAGAAAAGTGAGATTACTATGAACTTTGCTCCTGAGCATGAAGTTCAGCATCATAATTTGGGGAATTAATTATCATAAAGAATTATATCCACAAGCACGTGCTTATTACTGGACCTTAAATTCAGTAACACAAGTTATGATTTTTGACTGGATTCTTCAAGTGACTACTTACTATTTTTTGTCCCTGTATGATTCATTCAGCTTAGTAATCAACTGTATTAAGATTCTAAGTCCTAGAACTGTTATTTTATCTACAATTAATAAATATCATGCAATATTACATGTGGATCTCTTCTCTTCCCTGCCTTGCCCTCCTTGGATTACAGTTCACCCTCCCCTCCCTCCCTCCCTCCCTCCCTCCTCTCTCTCTCACACACACACTTCCATTTCTATAGAGAGAGCTCATTCATGGAGAATAATTGCATCATGAATTATCTCATTAAAAAAACTGGAAATGTTTCTAATACACCAATATATTTTCTCTAAACAATGGAGTTTTCTGAAATGAAGAACATACATTATCTGTGTTTAGAGCCTCAGACTATGGCCAGATTGGTACTTTAAAGTTAGCTTTGAAGATGACAAAACTATATTACTTTTTAAGTTTTGTTACAATGTTTAAGTTTTGTTACAATTTCTGAGCACTGAAAGGAATAAATCAACAACTTCTTT